TATACTTAAAAATAATTTGAGCACTCAAAAAAATATTTACGTGATGTGAAAACAATATGGAAATTTGAAAAAAAGTTCGTAGATTTTAGATAAGGTGTCCCGGTGGTTTGTTGCTTCGATCAACAACGAGTGATTTTCTGTTCGAGCTACCACCGCATGCTAATTTTTTTTAACGAAAAAAACTAAAGCGGGCCGGTCCAGCGGGGAGTAGGGTGTGCGCCCTTTGATTTTTCTGTTTTTTAACGAAAAAATACTCTAGTGGGCCGGCCCATCAGACGAATCCCAGTTCAAACGATACCAGGGTTCGATTTAGACCGGGATTGCAGAGTTCAGGGTGCAATCGACCGGGATTTTGATTTGAAGGTTCATTTCGCCCGACGTCTACAAGTTCAAGGTTTAAAATGGACTTTTTCCGTTTTCGTGCTTGCATGGAGTCCTAGACGCATCCACACGTCTGCGCATCGATCAGAAGTGTGTATCCTCTGCTCCCGCCTCATAGCTCACATGCTTCCATCTTTAAACAATAAATTTAAAAAATTACAGTTTAAGTAAAAAATCAAAAATAACTAACATGGTTTTAGTTTAAATTACTGACGTAGTTTTAGTTCAAAGTCAAAAATAACTTGCGTAGTTTTAGTTCAAATTTAAACTAAAATCGTGTCAGTTATTTCCAAACAAAGGGAGTAGTTTTTTTTAATGCTCACAAGACATGTATGCACCGTCTTTAAGAATTTTAAATTCAAATTCAAAATACACAAAGATAAAGAAAAGAAAAAGGATTGGCTGCAATCAACGGCTCCACGCTTTTGCGTTCACCGCCTTTGTTACTTGCCACGTATCCTCATAGGCCTCACGTTCACGACCCTTTTTACAAAGTCTCAGGGAATCCTGTTCATTCCTTTCCTCTCTCCCTCGTCAACATTCACCCTAATTTGTCACGCACAAAGTAGCACGCGCCCTATACACGGCATCCAATTGTTTTTTTTTTAGCATCAGTACAGATATAAGCGCTCATATACACGCGCATACATTCATCCCTATGAACGCACACACGCACACCCTATCCCTATGAGCACCTCCGAGAGACTGAGCCGGCATATCATCTTGAGATTTACGAAGTCACCGTAGGCGCCTCGTCGTCGACGGGAACGTCTCCTCCCACTGAAAGCGCATCGCCGGAAATCCTGAAAATAAATCCAGGAATAATGCGAGCATCAGGATTTGAACCCTGATGGGTTGGGGATACCACTGTCCACCTAACCAACTCAACCACAGGTTGATTCGCCACGGCATCCAATTGTTGTTGGGTGTTCGCTGTCCGCCGCGTTGATGCAGAAGGGGCCTCAGGCTGGTCACAGTGCGCAAGAACATAAGCCAGTAACTTCACACTTCCCTAGACTATGTTACTACCACTATAGTGGATAGGAACATTTATGTAGTGTAATGCAATGATGTATTTATTAAGTTATAGACTCATTGTTTTTTGGAGTGTGTGATGTTCCGGTAACTTAGCTAGTTACCACAAACACCTCTCTTTTCACTAAATACGTGTCACATAAGCAAAGTTGTATTGGAGTGTGTGATGTTACTCCTAAATTCCTCCCCATTGTGACCAGCCTCAAGTGATGTTGCTCATTGGCCGCCCGCCTGCTATTGACATGCCAAAGACCGGGTCACCACATGCCGCTGCACGCCGGGCGCTGGCTGCTGCTCAACGACATGCTATTTCTGGGAACCGGCTCCTCTACCGTGTTGTTAAGCACGGCACCCTGCCGTGCCTCCTTGTGGCGCTAGCGGTCGCATGCATATGGGCCTTGTCAAAAACAAAACTAACTCAGCCCAGCCGTTCTATCCATCACACCGTCCTACTAAAAAAAGATTAATTACCTAAAAATAGAATAATGAATTAACTATAATTAATACAGTACATGGCTAACGAAAATAAACTCATTTCAGAAAAACATTTTTACTAAATCTCAATCTTATTTTACTTGGAGCAGAATATGTCATTTTCCTATTTTCTATTTATTATTTTAATCGGTTCGATTGGTACATTTATTTTTGTTTTTGTGTTCTTTTAGATAATACCGTGAAACAAAAATGAACTCATTTCAGAAAAAATTGCTTTGCTAATCTCAGTCTTATTTTGCTCAAAACGGAATATGTCCTTTCTATTTATTATTTTGACCAGTTTGATTGGTACATTTATTTTTATGTGTGTCAGTTTTATTTTTACCACATTCATCGCCCAAACAAAACTAGAATTTCATGCCAACATATCGTGCGCAACTGCAGTCGCACGTGAGGGCATGGGGGTGCAACTACAATTGCATGTCCATCGATCGCATTTAACTATAGTTAAAGATCGTCGTGTTGTATCCCTTTGGTCGCCACCGGGTTGCGGCTAGAGTTTCCTGCTCGGCTGTGTAGCCGCCTCGCTCACAAGTTTCAACAAATATATTACCCGCGAAAAAACAAATATATCAATGTATTAAAAAAATATGATTTTAAATAACACACTTTTCTTTCATTCTTCTGTTTCTAGTTTTATGTTTTTAATACATGAATATATTTGTCAGAGTCATGAGAGAGGCGGCTATGCAGCCGACCAAGGCGCGACACTTGTTCTCTCCCTAATGATGACGCCTGAGCACAGAGACATCGGCGACAGATGGACATGCAATTGTAGATGCACGCTAGTGCATGTTTTTTTTAATAGGAGGAATATGCATAGTCTCTGGATCGCCTGAGCACTCGCCCTCATCGCCTCGCTCGCTCGCTCTCTCAACAAATCTCCCACCCTCATGAACTCAAGGGGCAGATCACCGGTGCACATGCATGCCACTGCAGTTGCGCACGATCGGTTGGAAGGCAGCTAAAATTATGTGTGGTCGGCGGATGTGGTAAAAATAAAAGCACACAAAAATAAAATTAAAAGTACAATTGAATGGATTAAAATAATAAATAGAAAATAGGAAAATGACATATTCCGCTCCACGTAAAAAAAAGACTGAGATTTTGTAAAACTATTTTTTTGAAACAAGTTCACTTTAGTTAGTCATGTGCTGTATTAATTATAATTACTAATTCGTTAATCTATTCAGGTGTGTGATGCATCGAACGGATGGGCTGGGTAGCTACATTGGTTTTTGGCAAGGCCCATATGCCTGCGTCCACTAGCGCCACAAGGAGGCACGGCAGGGTGCCGTGCTTAACAGCACGGTAGAGGAGCCGGTTCCCATGTTCCGCTGCCCTCGCCGGGATAGCCCTCCGTGCTGGAGTCGGTCGCGGGACCATCAGCATAGTGCGAGGTAACGGCTCCGGTGGGCCTCTTCTTGGAGGGGAGCCGTCCCTGGCGCTGGGCTTGATACGGATCAGGGATGCGGACATCCTGTCATTCCTACTCCCTCCGTTCCTAAATATTTGTTTTTCTAGATATTTCAACAAGTGACTACATACAAAGTAAAATGAGTGAATCTACTCTCTTAAATATGTCTATATACATCCGTATGTGATAGTCTATTTGAAATATCTAGAAAGACAAATATTTAAAAACGAAGGGAGTATCTCGCATGGCCAAAACTATGAACAGGAGGGGTTGGGGAGAAGTGCTCGAGGTGGCAATTGACAGATTATCCAAAGGGCGGGAAGGAGTGGAGTGAGGCGACCTTGGGAGTATCCCACATGCCATCAATTGCCGCCAGTACTCGCCGGAAATCGACCCATTCTCTCATTGTGGCCTCCTGCGCACTCGGAAGGCGGCCATTCTCACGCGTTGATTGAGGTATAGGCAGCTAGTACTATTCGGCGCACAGGTCGCCAAGTAGCCACGCTGCCCGTACCCTCCCCCATGTGCATGTCCTTTGTAGGGGCCGACCCAAATTGACTTTTTACCACCGGTTGTGGAAAGATTCTAGAATCTTCGCTGGACCAATTTTTTTCTTTTTCTTCAGGTTTTTCTTTCTTTTATATTTTTTCATTTTTCTTTTCTGTTTTCCTTCTCCTTTTTAATTTATTTTTAGTTTTTTCTCGTTTTCTCAAGTTCTTTTCTTTTTACATTTTGCTTTTTTTCCTTCTTAATTTTTATTTTTTGCGTACATCTTCTAAATTAATGAACATTTTTCATTTACACGAATATTTTTGAAATCATGAACATTCTTCAAATTTATGAACATTTTTTGGAATAATGGATCATTTTTTGGAATAATGGATCATTTTTTACAAATTCGCAAAGATTGTTTGAAACTTGTGAACATTTGTTTGTTTTTCATGAATTTTTTATGAGTGCATGAACATTTTTTGAACCGTCTAGAATTTTTTGAATCGACCAAATTGTTTTGAATTTTGATAACAACTTTTGAACATCACAATTCCTTTTTATATTCTTGTGAACATTTTATAAAATTCGTGAACATTTTTATAAATCCTAAAAAGAATTCGTTAACATTTTTTAATATGCAAAAAAATCAAAGTACCGAACAAAATTTGAAATTCATGAACACAATTTTATTTTTGTAATTTTTTTCAAAATCATGATCATTTAATTATTTTTCAAACAGTTTTTCCCGAATTCGCATTTTTTGTGAAATTTGAAACTTTTTTGAAATACCAAATTATTTTAAAGATGAAAAGGAAAATGAAATGCATTAAATAGAGGGCATCCCACCCAACGCATGGGCCGTCCCAAAAGGACGCGCGGAGCGCGCGACCGCTATGTCTGCGGCCTGTTAAGGTAAAGGCGCGGCAATTAGGAGGTCTCGCGGTCCAAACTCCAGATCGATAACCACCTGTATCCGTCTCAACAAAAAAAAAAACGTATCCGTCTGGGTCTCTATATGTCAGGTGCATTGCCCATAGGTTTCAGGGATCCATATAAGCAGCACGACTGCACGACCGAAGCCCTAGCAGAGGCATATCGGTGTTCCGCAGAGTGCGGTTTCTCGCAAGCACTTCTTGTTCGATCGTTTTCTCGCCTCCCAGCACCTCCTCGATCGGCGGCCATGGTAAACCCTCGTTCCTCCCGACCATAACGAAGCTCCCCGCGTAGATAAACATTGACCGATTTCCGCCGCGCAGGCCGTGAAGAAGGACAACAAGGCGGCGGCATCCTCGTCGGCGGCGAAGCCCGCCAAGGCCGGCAGCGGGAAACAGAAGCAGCAGAAGAAGGTACGTAGTATAAGCTAGTCCAAGCGATCTCCGGGGTGAATTTACTTCTCTCACCTCTGGATCACAGGATCTGTCATCAATCTGGGTCACGATTAATTTGGTGTTTGATCCTGTGCATATGCAGAAGTGGAGCAAGGGAAAGCAGAAGGAGAAGCTCAACAACGCCGTGCTGTTCGACCAGCCCACCTACGACAAGATGCTGTCCGAGGCGCCCAAGTACAAGCTCGTCACCCCCTCCGTCCTCTCCGAGCGCCTTAGGGTACGTATACGTTTGATCGATCATACGGTTCTCTTCTTGATTAACCCGGGTACAATGCACAGCTTACACATGATGGTTGTCTGAAGATCTCACCTTGAGCATTATCTTCCTGCAGATCAATGTGTCCCTGGCTAAGAGGGGCATCAAGGACTTGATGGCAAGGGGGCTCGTAAGGGGAGTGTCACTTCATGCCAGCCAGCAGATTTTCACCAGGGCCACCAATGTACCATCGAGTTAGTTGTATTTGCTAGTGGCGTTTTTCTTGTCCAGTACTAGGCTAATTAGATGAAAATGAGTTGTAGATTAATAAGAAGTTGATACCCTTGTATTTAAGTATATTCTTCAGTCAGTACGAATAGTGTTAAATTATCTTGTTTTTACATGATCAATCTTTGTTCGTGGGATTGTAGATTTGATCACTGCCTTTATTATCTTCTCTGATCATGCTACCCTCATTTGATCAAAAGAACAATAGAGCCAGGTTTTTCAGTATTGACTTTGTACACAAGAGAATTGACTTCTGTTGTGATTGTCCATTGGGAAATAACAATGGAAGCTCAACCATGAAAACCTGAAAATATTGGCTAGCCCAGCAATTGTAATGGGCAAAAAGTTGGTTTTGCAAACAAAATTATCACAATCCCTTCCGCGTTGGCAATTATAACTCCCCCCTCCCCTCCTTTTTTTGCGAAAGGACCAGATCAGTTATAAAATTTCATCGGAAGTACAAAGCATCTCAAACATAATAAAATATACGTCGAGATTCCACCGAACAATCACTACTACCGCGAGAATGAGCCGTCGACACGCCATTGTCGCCGCTTCCCTATCGGAGCCGACTTGACCTTGTCGAACTCTTGCATGGATCTAAAGCACCTGACAACAAATTTCACCACATGACGAGAAGCTGAAACCTCCTCGCCACAAGGAGACAGTAGCAATCTACGCCGGAGGGAGTGGTGCTCAGTTTGGTTGTACTTGAGCCTCGCCTAACTAGGTTTTCGGGTCTAGTTTTCCTTATAAACTGGACCAAACTCTCTTATTCTTAATCAAATGCAGGAACCCCCTGCCCTGACACGAGGTTTATCACAAAAAAATGTAATCTACGCCGGAGCTCCGTCTACTACGTCCAAATAGATGAACTCGAGGAGGATCGAAGTCTGGAAGACAATCTTAAAGAAGAAACACCCACTAGTGCAGAAC